GTAATTGTCGTAAGGGAGTTTTTTTGTGAAGATGTATGTGTTGTCACAATTAGTTCCACTCGAAAGCGTGCATGCTCCATGATCACCAGCATGCATCGGTATATAATCGAAGAATGTTCAGAAAATTGAATCGACGTTGATAATGTTACGTGGCCTTATCGTCTCCAAAAACTGATCTAATTGCCGTGAGGGCCTCATTGTAATCAACCTCTGGATCTTAGCACTATACCTCCACATTCTCGATTTCGCATTCAGAACAGCCAAAGTTGCGCTTGACATTACGTAATGTGTTTATCGTAAAGTAATGAATTTAAGCGCTAGTACCCGTCCTTATTCACACTAGTTCACAGCTTCGTACATTTTATCAACGATCACACTGACAGCAACATTTGCACAATAATTTTATCGTTGATACACTGAATTGGAAACCACGCAATTTTGTCATCATATTTCACGTGAACAAATGCTAATGCGAGCTTGACATTTGCCCGTTTCCATGTCATCCAACTAGGATAGGAATAACGCCATTATACTTTCCGTGACATGATTGGGTGTTGTCAAAGCCAACCACCGGGATATTGAAATGATGGCTGTCGACGGCAACTCCTAATGCAAAAAAAAACCGAATAGTCGATTGTATTGATCCACGTCAAATTACACAGTGCTGTCTGGATTGACGCGCTTTCATTTCACCAAGTGTGGTAAAAGGGGCGGAAAAGATAATTTCCATTCTCTTTCCATGTCAGTAATCACCGCATCCTTGGCCCAATAAATCTTGTTTCGATACTGCTGCAGATCAGTGGAATCACGAGCCCGTACTAGTGCCACAACTGACTTGCTCCTGATGCCCTTGTCGCCTTGAACCGCGTCATCAAAAGCTGGCAGTATTTGAATTTGCCGTGCTGATGGTTTGGCGATAGCCATGCAAACATCGGAGTGACTGTCAATAAACGTAGAACGTTAAACTCGGGAGATCCACTCATTATCGCTTCGTCACACGTACCTCCCACGGGCATCCATTTGGGCGGGTACATATGTCTTTCTTTTGCCACATCTCTTCTTCACCTTGCACTGTCGGTTGTGATTAAAACAACATTTTGTTTATACACACGGTTGCATTAGCGCCGACTCAAAATGTTAGTCCATACGTCAGGTCAATGGTACCGTTAATAGCGCCTAATTTGATTCCCGCAGTTTTCCTATACTTTTTGATGTTACATTTACGCTCAAAGGATCAAACTAACCATAGTAAACTATACTCATCCGGTTATATGTCTTTGTCTCAAATTGAGAGATTTTTTGTATTACAATGTTTGTCCGTTTCGTCAATATTAATTCACAACGAGAAAATAAAAATGGCATGTATTACTTTGATTTGGTAAAAAGAGAACGTGCTATGTCGCACAATCTCGGAGGGAGAAACTAAGCGACCGGGGCAAAAATTTCATGTCGACGAAGAGGGTCCTTCTTCGAATGTGGTAGCTCATTGGCATTGCCACCGTCGTCTTTTAGTGCTGCAGCCATACACGAATGCGGCGAGAGAAATACGTTTTCTAGATGATTCGATCTTGATATGCATGAACGACTGTTGGGCTGCTTCTACCAAATCGTCGTAGCTACGAGGCGCCACTTCGTGCTGTATTGTCTGGATCGATCGAAAATAGTTCAAGTACAGCACGTTGAAGTCCGGGCTATTAAGAGGCTGGTACAATACGCTTAGGTAAAGGCTCAACTGGCGGCCAGCCTCACTCACGAGCGGTTCATCTTCCTTGGCGTGAGGTCGCGCGTTGTCCTGTTGTAAGTAAATAGCTCTGCGTTGGCTACGACGCGGAAACTTGGCGGCGATCGCAGGGATGACGTTGTCCAGCAACATGTCAACGTACTCCGCTCTCCTCACGGCACTTACCGAATTGAGCTCAACAGTTCCAACTAGGCGATTCTTACTGGTCCGCTGCGCGACCGTCCGTTTAAAAAAGGCCAGATGCCCAACTTTCCATCAAACCAAGTACCACTGGCAGCGTCCTTTCTCGGCCTGGCGACTGCTGTTAAAAATGTCACCTTACCGATAAAACGATTGATTTTACATCGTCTAAAAACCTTACACATAAGGTCACTCGTATTAGCACTGCACACCCGTATAAAATATTAAATAGAAAACGTACATACCGGAGCGGCGCCGTCTCATTAGGAGACAGGTAAATCCGCTGGGACGCTCGTGTCATGAAAAATCATTTCTCATCGAGATGAGTTACGTCGTACATCGGGAAGTAGATCATTGTAGACTCGTCGACGAACGAGCGATGAAGAAAGTCGCGCGCGCTTGCTCTACTCCGTCAGCAGGAGTTTGATAGCGTTGGTCGTCGCCATGATGTCATTACGCTGGCGCATCCTAAAAAACGTAAATGCCGGTGCTCCCGTAACATGTGCCAAAGAGCGTAGTGTGTATCGCTTACGATACGGCGCAGCCTCCATTTTCTTGTGAACTGCATACAAATCAATTCGTTATTTGCCTTTCTTACCCTTGATTTTAAATCTAACATCTAGGAGGTACGATGAGCGGGCTATGGTGTCGCGACCGCGTTTCCCTCCTTATTGGCTTCACAGAACACGCATATGTTAGCGCCACTGACTTAAAATTAGTACGACTGACCTTCATGTTCGCACCAGTAGTCTGAAGAAGCGTACACATTATAACAGTGCGTTCGAGGTCTGTGAGGTTCTTTGAAGGTCGTTTGGTTTCGGGGCTCATCTTCGACAATGACAGCACTACTAGCAAGCAGGAAATGATGTTTATTATCTTGACGATACATGCAATTCAAACCAATTAAAAAAGAGAGCCAAAATATAGAGGCAAATTTGCGTGATATTGGCCTAAAAAAGCGTCTCGTTTAGGCGTCTGTTGCTATTTATCAAAGGCGATTTATCAAATGGAGATTTCGACCTCTTTAAGCTTTTATTATAACTATCAAGCGTGGTATTTGGTGGTCTGCAGGCTCCGCAATCAGCGTCGGTGCAAAACCCTTCAAAAATGATGGGTTTAGTGGTCCTGATTTCTCGGCTTCCAGTTACTGTATGAATACACGGACAACACGGACTAAAAGAGCTTTTATTAGGTTTTATTTTGAGGTGCATTAGCTAATCAGGTTTAAAAAATACCCTTTTTTGCTTTTTTGTTGAAAAGGGACAAACACGTTAAAACGGAGGGAGTAACAGTTTGATGTAGTAAAACAACTTAATTTATTATTAATTGTGTCTTTTGGACTAGTATTAATTTTGTAAACGAGCAGTCTGAAATCATTGAGACAAGTGTCAAGTTGTTATCTGGATGTCAGCCATTCTCCTCGCACTGCTATACATACACACGAGCTTAGCACGCAATCGTTAAACAGCGCAATCGCCACCAACAGTAAGAACTGACCTGCTGCTACCACTGCTTACGAACGGTTATGTGTCTCAACGGGGTCCCCACGATCACGAGCTAGTCGAGTTCGTATGACCAGGACCGGGCTCGCACGCAATTTGCTCACTGCGCGTGGGCACATCGGCGTGTGGGCGCAATTGATAAGTGAATGAACGTTGGTGAAAATGGAGCGTTCGCGGCCATTGTATGACAATTGTTCATTAAATGGAAAGGCTCATGAGCAATCAAGCAGTTTCTTATCCCATGTTGCAGTCAAGTTTAATGAGATAACACTATTTATTTATGATTTTCTGCTTGAGTCGGGTACAGTACTGGTTTTGGGACTTTTGTACATTTGTGGTTCTGGTTACGAGATTTGCATTACGTTCGGTCCTAGTATGCCCAGTGGCTCTATCTATAATTTGTCTTGACTATCACCTGAATTAACATCTGTTTCCCACAAAAAAGCAAAATGTTGCGCAGTATTCGTGAACTTTTTGGCAATAATCAGTGCTCGGCCTTCACCGGTTTAGTAACATTTAGTAGTTACTTTCCGACTTGACCAGCTCAAATGCATTGAACCTTCGGGCCACCTTTTGATGAAGCCCGAACGTCAGCATTCTGTACGTTATAACAAATCGATGTGCGTCATGGAGTACCTGGAGCCACATGCCGCGCCGCCAAGAACTAAGTTTGCCCTATTTCTAGGGACCTATTATTACCAGGACAAATCGGGTATTCGACGTCGACTAGCAACGCAATATCGAGGACCTGAGTCACGCCTCGTGCATCTATCTGCCTTGCATCCTCGATAGTGCTTGTATGCTTGTCCAACCTGAGAAGATAATCAACGGAAACAGCAGCAACCACATAACCTTTCTCGCTCGCTGTTTCAACTTGCGTTTCGTACCAAGCGTTGCAAATGTGAGTTGACACACTCGGTTGGTAGTGGGGCGGGCAGTGACCAAGCGACCGACAGTGACGAAGGCGCCGACGTGCTAATTGCAAATTGTACAGTAAACGTCAGGGTCTACATTACCCAGCGGCGCCGCAAATGATGCTAGAAGCGCAACAAGCGGCACAGACATGGGTATGGTGCCTACGTTTCCCACTCTCCACCGTCGACCATCTCACAGCCAGCAGCTTGCCGTTGTCACGCGCAGAAACTCCGTGATTACCCATTCACTGTGAATCGCGCTAGCACGTCTTCTGATGGCACATCATTGTCTATGAACCACACAACACCACCTGGTTAGCACCTTGCCGTGCACGAAACATCAGCTGCATACAAAAGGCGAGTTGCTCGATGGCTTGTGAAGGCGTAGCAGAGGTCATCTCATGCAGACGTCGTCCCTTCAGCGCTCAGAGCGAATCTTCATAGAAGACGTCACAAGTTTTGCTGGGCGGAGCGTTCTCTGGGCAAACAAGAACAAAGCAAGCAGTGTCAATTGATCGGTGAGCTGACACACCGGTATATCGGCAACACGATCGGAACAACCCAAACGATAGTTGTAGCACAGAACGTGTTCAATTCATAGGTTAATGAATTCACAGACACAAGGTCCAATCTGTCGTCGATGCGACTCTGGCCACTCACGGATCAAGCTCGCCAATCGAGGAAAGCCGAGCACAAAGGCATCAACTGACTCGTCCGGTACGACTCCACGTAGCCTGTCTCGCGACCGGTTACCAAGTGTGCAAGCCCGCTGAGAAACTTCGGCTCCAATTCCATTGGCAACATCGAAGAACAATCGTCCATCAGCTCGCGCTCCCTTGCGTACGATTGACTAGACCGCAGCTGCACTGCCTGCGTGGCCAAGGACACGATCATTGATGACACGCAAGCTAGCGCTAGTAGCGCATCTTTCTCTGCAACCATCGTGCCATCTTTCGCCGAAGCATCTCGGGCGCTAGAAAGTTGCTGAGACAGCAGCATGACGCGCTGGAGGAACTGGTCTTCATGGCCGGCTTCCAGCCCTTTCTGCTGCTCAAGACGAAGGTACTCCAACAGCAGTCCGCCTCCGATGGTATACACCTTCTCACAGCTCTTCCACAGTGGGATGTGCGCTGACATGGGCTCCAACTCAAGTAGCTGCTGCATCAACTTGTCTTTCTCGTCACCAAACAAGCTCGGCATGGCAACGTGCGATACCAAGCACGCATGAGCTTCTTCATAGCGCCGAGCAGCTATCCAGTGCGCAATTTCTTCCTTACGCTCCGACCTCACAATAGCTCTCACGGCCAGTGCCTCGCTGACCCATTCAGTGGGAATACTCAAACGCCGACAAAGACTTTTCTGGTCAGACGCGTTCGAAGCCAAAGCGTCTGCATTCCGAAAAAGCAGCTCGCGGCATGTACATTCCCGCTCCGTTGCGTCCGAAATATTGAGCGCAACATACAACGCGTCTTTCCAAAGACCACATCCCTCTAGTTGGCGAATGAAATCCTGGTGGATGTGTGATTCCCATTGACGTTCAAGCTTGTAACCCATCGCACGCAAGACGCTATGTAGATGCCACGACAGCTCATAGTCCAAGTGAAATAATCCTTGCGTCATATATCCACTAGGCGACAACACTTTGCAAAGTGAAGCCACGTCTCCGATGTAGAGCTTCATGAGCTCCATCAACACGTCCTCTTTTTCGGTACCCGCAACTGCAAACTGTGAAACTGGAGGAGGAGCCAGTCGCTTACAGACAGCGTCTTCGTACAGCGCCATGGCCGACTTTAGGGATGACGCGGGGCCGCGCGTGTACCACAAAAACAGCGCGAGGCAAGCGACCCATGACATGCTCGCACCTTCACAAGTAGACAACGCCTCGACGCTTCCCGACAACACGCTGTAAACGAGGACCAAACTTTGGTCCATACAATGCAGCGACCCATTTTCATTCCACTCTTCCATTTGTTTCACCATCATATGGCGAAAGTCAGCACCTTCGTAGGACGCCGCTTGCGCAATCAATGTTGCCAGGCGCAAGTGACCGCAATCCATCGCCATGTCCGCTGCCTCCACAATTCGGTGCTGATACAGCAGGCGCAGGACGCCTTTTGTACTGGGACCGTCGTCAGATGTGGGCCTGGTCTGTGCGTCGCTCAACGCAGTCTCGAACCACTGAGATATGGCTTCCCTGCGCAGATCCAGCAATTGGAAAAGGTCCAGCGTTTCTACTACATTAGGATCATCTCTCAATGCAAGGTGGTGAAAAGTGGAATCAAGTCGATCCACCATCTCGGCGCCATGTTCCTGACCCCACAAAGCTTCGACCAATTTCCACGTGAGCACTCTGACCTTCGGAAAAGAACTACCACGATTATCGTGGACTCGGCTTTCCGCGAAAACAACATACTTGTGCAAGCAGTTCATCAACCGCTCGTTCGTAGGAAGCGCATATTCGGTAGACACCTCCAAATCTCCTTCGTCTACGAAGTCGCTAGAGTCCCGGTCACGCGAAGTACACTCATGATGCATTTTCAACCCATCGTGAAGGTCTACCTTTCGGTTTTCAGCAAGTCGAAGCGGGTGCTCGATGCAAACGTGACGGCCGTCGCCCTCCACACCAAAACGGTCTTTCCGATGCGAAATGAGCTTCCCCAAATTGACTAGCTCGCCGCCCGGGCCCCACGAACACCGAAACGAACGGGCCATAAACATGCCTCCGTCGATGTTATTGCGCACGGCTTCAGACTGCTTTTGGTTAGACGCTTGCAACATCATCTGGTACGTCGTTGACTTCTCATCAGCTCGCAAATGGTTAGCGTCACCAACGCCAAGTGGTTTTAAGGAGTAAGGAACGACAGGAAACACCTTGCTTGTCGGCCACTGATCCTTTTGCATTACCACTGCCTCTTCGGCAACGTCGAATGTCGTCTCTGCTCCCGCCACGGTTGCAGCTTTGTTCAAGTTGCCCCTCATTCCAACCAGCCTGTCGCTGAGTGCAACAGGCGCCAGCTGGCCTCCAAATGACGCAACGACAGTTTTGCTGCTCATGTCACCGTCAAAAATACGTGACTGGCGAAACAGTCGGCTGCGGTTGGCCGTAAAGGGCATTTTGCTTTGACCGACCACATGACCACGAGTCAGACCCGGCCTTCGTGACAATTCTCCAGCTTGCAGTTCCTTCTCTTGTGCATCGATCGCTCCGTCGTGTGTGTCAGTTCCTCCATCGTGACCACCCATATCATCATCATCGTCATCGTCATCGTCGTCGTCATCGCCAAGAGCGTATCGGCTGAAGTGCTCAACTCGGAACCGCCAGATGCCCGTATCAGGGGAGTAGTCGATGAAGGTGGCACCAATATCTCCCGTACGCTGCTTCACACGCTCACTGTACTTTTCAGGAGAGGCCGCCTTGCGAGGAGGAAATATACCAAGAAGTTCGACAATAGCAGGTTTGTTCAGACCCTTACCAAGTTCGTGTTTCTCTTCATTGTCCTTGTATACAATCACTTCCTTCTTCTCAAATAGCACCAGCTTGTCGAGATCAAGAGATCGCACGTCAGTCTTACCAATCCATTCAACTGCACCCAAGCCACGACAACCAACGGTAAATGCTTCTACTTGGGAGAGTTCGTCGTCGGTCATCGCCTGTAGGCGCTCGTAAGACGGAATAGTGTAATAGTCTTTGTTCTTCAGTGTAGGACACGACGGCGTAACAGGGAAAGTCCGGCTGGTGCTGCCTGCTTCAGTATCGTTGAGAAAATCATCGTCGTCACGACCGGCAGAGACCAAGTACTCGTCGTAGGTCATGAACCGTTTCGGTGGCGCTGTCTTATCACTAGTTTGTGCCTCAGGCATCTTACTCAGCGACGAAACCGAGACGTCCGGGTCTCCAAGCTTGTCGAGGTCCGCACGATTTTCTATTACAACCACGTCAATCGAGTCCCCTTCCTCTAGCCGCAGCTCCTTGACAAAATCATTGTCGTGTAAAATCCGACCCTTCAAAACCAACTTGGCGTCAACGATCGGAGATGATGCTGATGCACTGCTATCACGGAGCAAGAGCTTCACTTCATTTCTTACTTGTTTCACGGTCTGATTCGAGTGTAGACGCAGCGAAAACGTTTTCTTGTTCGTCTGATTGCAAAACGTAATGTTGTACTTGCCGTCATTGTCAGCCTGCAACAACTGTTTGCGAGAGTTGCCGCTTTCAAACACGTCAGCACGATCGCCATCAGTGATCGGCACAACAGACACGCGCGAACTTTCTGGAAAACTTCGAACAGAGCTTTTCTCCTCCTTGTCAATCACGAGCTTCTTCGTCATCGAGTTACGGAACAGAGATGACGTAAACTTGAACTCGTCCTCCTTACCACCGCCATCACCAACCGATCTGGATCGGAGGCCGTTAGAAAGAGCCGGGGTCGCGATCGTAGAGAACCGACTCTTGGAGCCCCTGAATGAGCCACGGATGAACGAAACTGGGACCGCGTGGCGTGGAGCGCTCAACGCTTGACGTCGTGCTACCAGAGGCTGATCCGATGGAAGCCCCACTTCGTCTGCAAAAGACACCAACCGAGAAGACGCACTAACACCTGTCTTGATGGCCTGAAGGTCCAGTGCAGCTTTCACATTTTGCTCAACCAGACCAGCACCAAACGATCCAGCACCGTACGGGTTCACGTCGGGAGCTGCAATCAACTCTTGTGGCTGCGCAATAGCTGCTTGCTGTTGCGGTTGCCCGAACAGACTGCTAGCTGTGCCAAATCCCCCTGTTTGAGCAGCCGGGGTAGCGGCAGATCCAAAGCCACCAAAGCCACCAGTAGTCGTCCCTCCAAACCCACCACCGCCAAAACCAAACCCGGTCGTTCCAGTGTTCGTGATCGCAGTTGGTGCTCCAAAGAGCGATGATCCGCCGGTGCTCGCAGCACCACCAAAAAAACCTCCTGGAGTGGGAGTGGCCGTTGTTGATCCAAAAAGACCGGTTGTTGCAGGCTTCGCAGCGCCGAAGAAGCTGTTTGTCGAACTGGGCGCGGTGGTCGAGGTACTTCCAAAACCAAAGCCACCGTTCAAGCCACTGGCTGCACCGGTAGACCCGAAGAGAGAACCAGGGGCAGATTGTGCAGGAGTAGCGCCGAATGCACTGGGCGCAGCGGTAGCACCAAACGCACTGGGCGCAGCGGTAGCACCAAACGCACTGGGCGCAGCGGTAGCACCAAACGCACTGGGCGTAGTGGTAGCACCAAACGCACTACCGGTTGTACTTCCAAATGCACTCGTGCTACCACCAGAACCAAAGCCAAAGCCACTGGCAGGCTTGGCAGCAGTTGCTCCAAATGAGAAACCAGTGGAAGATGGCGTTGCTGCTCCAAAACCGCCGAACGAAGAGCCAGTCGATCCTGCTTGAGGTTGCGTCGCTCCAAATCCAAACCCACCCGTTGCCGGTGCTGCCGAAGAAGCTGGCGTGGTTCCAAAGCCCCCAAACGCTGAAGGCGCTGCTGCCTTACCAAAACCCGAAGCACCAAAGCCGGAAGAGGACGCCGGAGCGGCGGCACCAAACCCTCCAAACCCACCAGTCTGTGGTTGTCCTGCCGCTGCTGCGCCAAAGCCGCTGCCAAATCCACCTGACGTCGAGCCAAACCCTCCACCCGTAGATGGTGCCCCAAAAGCTGAAGTGGCACCAGGAGCGGCCCCAAATGCACTGCTTGTACTCGGTGCACCGAACGCATTTGAACTCGAACCTGCAGCCGCATTTCCAAATAAACCACTACTCGTAGTCGAAGTCGCTGGCTGCGATCCAAACCCACCAAACCCGCCAACTGTCGCAGGTGTGGTCGTTGCACCGAAAGCAGACGACCCAAATCCGCCACCACTCGACGTGGCGCCAAATGCCGATGGCTGCGACGTGCCAAAGCCGCCTGTCGCCCCAAACGCCGAACTCGTTGCTGGCTGCGACGTGCCAAAGCCGCCAAACGCACCCGTTGTGCTTGCCTTTGCACCAGCAGCCACCGGCGCGTTCTGCACCGCGGCTGCTTGGGCTGCTGCAGGGTCCGTGCGCTTCAAGTAGTCTTCGTACCGCAGCTCTTCCATCGACTTGTGCACGTACGCAGGCATGTGCGAGATCGACATGTAATTGGCCGTGCCGCTCGCGCCGCCTGGCTCCACTGCCCGCGTCGACTGGTACGGCGGTTGGCCCGTGCCGACCTGCACTTGACCAGCGGCCGGCGCTCCAGATGCGCCCATAGACTGCAGGCCAAAGCCGCCAAAGCCCGTGGAACCCGTCGTCGACGCGCCAAAGCCGCCCGACGATGTCGCTGTCGCGGCGGTCGGCGTCATGCCAAACGGACTCTTGGCCGCTGTCGCGCCACCAAACCCGCCCGTGGTCGAGCTGCCAAACATCCCGCCGCTCGCTGCGGTAGGGGTCCCGAACCCGCCTGTCGCTGCACCGCCGCCGAACGCACTGGAGCTGCCCGCGCCTCCAAACGCACTCGTCGCGCCAAATGGACTCGCGCTAGCGGTCCCTGCGCCCGACTTGGCTGCAAACGGCGTACTGGCGCCAAATGCCGAAGAACCCGACGTGCCAAAGCCGCTGCCCGCACCTGTTGCGCCGCTGCCGAACGCCGACGTGGACCCAAAGCCCGAAGACGTCGCGGGCGTCGCGCCAAAGCCGCCAAAGCCGCCCGTCGTGGACGCCGCCGGCGCACCAAAGCCGCCGAACGCCGACTTGGGCGCGGCCGACCCGAACGGAGCCGCTGTCGAGCCAAAGCCGCCGGTCGTGGGCCCACTGCCGCTGCCGAAGGGCGACGCGGCGGCGGAGCTGCCAAAGCCGCTGCTGCTCGTGGCGGGCGCGCCAAAGGCGCTGGAGCCGAAGCCGCCGCCGCCCGCGGGCGCGTTGCTGCTGCTGCCAAAGCCGCCGAAAGACATGGACAGGACCTGCGCGGAGGGGGCGCGGGGCGAGTGGAGCGGCAATGCGCAACTGCGGAATGAAAGGCGCGCGGGTTTCTTTGGGAATGGTGTGGCACAAAGTGTGGTGCGGGGCGATCCACTGGGGGGGGGTGAATGGGTTGTGTGTGGTACACACAACCCATTCACCACAAGCCCGTGCGACCAGTCGACAAGTGGTGTTTATTTGTTACAATGCGGCACTCCTGACGTGGCTTTTACTGCTACTTCTCCTACTACTTCTACTGCCGACTACTACTGCCTGCTCCTACTACTACTACTGATTTGTGGGTCTTCCAGTAAGCTCACAATGGAGCGGGCACTGCTCTCGCTGGCGACCGAAAGTCCAGCAGCACGAGGTGCATCTTTTTCAAATCACGGCGGATCACGACCGTACCTGGAACGTGTTGCGTGAACTTTGCGTCGTTAAAGTTGCTCGGTACCTTCAGCACCACGCACTTGGTGTGCGCTTGCAGCTGCGTGCAGATCTCGTGCAGCGGGAAGCCACCGAGAAAAAGGTCCACCTCGTCGAGATCCTTGTACTCCGGGCCGCCCCACGGCGGATCGAGAAACACCACATCCTGCTGCAGCTCCAGCATCACGTCGAGGTAATTCGCGTGCATGCACGTGGCATTCGTCTTGTTCAGGACCTGCAAATTGTGTCGCAACATCTCTACGCGCGTGAAGTCATTTTCTACGGCGTTCACGTGCGTGAAAAAGTCACAGAACGACAGCACGTTGCCTCCGACGCACGCCGTGCCATCGGTCACCACGAGCGGGTATTTCTTGCGCTCTGCTGCAGTCAACGTGCTTGCATCCTGATCGTCGTCCCCGCTCTCTGGCGTGACGTCGTCTTTTAGTGGAGCAAGAAACAGATCCAATACGGCCTGAGAGATCTTTGTCGCCATGTCAAAATCTGTCACGCTGAACTCGGCCACTTCATCAACCAGCAGCTGATTCCGGACCTCGTAGTCCAGATTGCGAAAGAAGAAATCGCGCTTGTCCCCACATTTTCTCGGACGCGGCGATCCGTGTGAATCCGAGCCCGAGCGAGGCGACCGTGGCGAGTCCAGCTTCGTAAAAAGCTGTCGGTTCGGTCGATTGCCAGCGTACTCTCCGTGTCCGCGCGGGCTCGAGTCGGCGCTTTCGCTCTGGTAGTAGTGGCACGGTTTAGCACAGTCGTCATGCGCTGCCATGGACGATACGCTCTTTGTTTTCCGCGTGCGTTCCTTCATCGAGTAACTTCGTCGACTGCAAGTGCCGTGGTGCTCCACAACGACGCTCGACTGGCTTTCGCAATGCACGCCAACCGCATTGTCCACGCACATTGTGTCGGCAAGTCGCTGCAAGCTGCTGCGCCGTGCAAACATGACTTTCCCCAGGAACGACGGATGGGGCACGCCATCCACAGGCTCCATGCCAGCTTGCCCTCGCTGCAACAGCGTCTTTTGCCGTCTCTGCTGCCTCCGCTTTCGCCTCGCGACATCCGCTGCCTCCATTTCATCTTGACTCAGCGACCGGCCACTTGTCACTGCTACAGTACGTACTGGAACCTCCAGGGAACGGCTGATCCCGAGTGCTGGCGGGTCGCGTGGCAGCGACAGGAACACCGTAGCGGGCGTGTGGGGCGTCCTGCGCTCTGATCGCGCGCGTCGGCCGTGGGACACCACCGTCTTCCACTCCTCTCCCTCCACAACCACGCGGTCATCGGGTGCTGGTCCTCGGTCCATCCTCGCCCCGCGCAGTGCCTTCTCTTGTATCTGCTGCATCTGCCGCTCCCGGTCGAAGCGCTTGGACTCGAGCTCGGCCTGGTACTTGCAGGCAAAGCCGCTCTCTGGACGCCACGAGCGCTGGTGGCCGAAACTACTGCTTCGCTGGCGTGCGTTCAGTGCTGCAGATGTTGCCGATGGTGGCGCTGCTCTCGGCCGGCACGCCGTGCGCTCGTCAGCCGCTGCTGCGACGTCCATGTGCCAGCTGGTGGACTTTGGAAACGCCGGGATAAGACGATCGCGGGTGGTATGTGTTTTCGCCGACAAATGGGTGCATCAGTTCGTGGCGAGTATCACGTGCTGGAGGTCTTTGGAAGCATAGACGCGTAGTCGTCTGGTTCGACAGACCCACTCAGACAGATGTCGCACTGGTGGCATCTCGAGCACCGCTCTGACTTGAACTTGTTGTTGCAGCTGAGCATAAACGAGCACTGCGTTTGAAGAGGTCCATGCACAAATGTAGATCGATAAATTGATAAATACGTAGATAGATCGGTATTTGCAAAGGCTTGAGAGAGACATCTTCAAGCAACACTATGGCCAAAGAACTCCTGTACTTCTGCTTGCGTTGAATCGTAGCAGACCATATCTACTGTTTGTAGACACTCTGGTCAGTCCATTCCGACCGCTTTACGCAGATAGATGTACGAGTTGGCCACGACACCCCACTCGTCCATGCGGCGACTGTTCATTATGTGGTATCAATATGCGGCGACGACAAGGCCTGACTGGCCACAAACGCCAGAAGCGCTTACCACCATCTGTCGCTATGGCACGAATGGATCTGCTGCTTGGACGGCGATCACGCCTTTGCACTGCGTCGCTGGGTAATCGCTCTTTGGCTGTCATAACTCTCCGCCGCTTTGTTCTGCCGTATTCCAACTAACATTGGCAAAGAAGCGCCACGTCGCGACTGGACGCCGCGACTTGAACTTGTGGGAACGCACGCTTTCTTGCAAGTTGACAGGTGCATTAGCTGTCACAGGACCGTGCGCAACCAAGTGGAACGGTCGATGAAAACCGGATGCCTGTCGTTTTTGCATTGTATGCAATGTCACAGGTTACCAAGTCCGCGCGTTGCTAGTCATGCGAGACTTGTAGCACACGTTCCGACAACGTGGTCTGCGTTACGACCTCACATTGCGAGCGCCCAGCGTCGCCGTCCGTCCATCCGCTCGTCCGCCTCCGACTCGTCTGCGTCGGATCCAGACACAGCTGCTCAAGATGGTGGGCGTGGCTATGAACTTCTACGACGACCAGAGCCGGCAGGACTTGACGCCGACCGAGGGGAACCGCACGTACGCCATTATCGTCTGCATCTTTGCGTCGCTCGGCGGGGTCTTCTTCGGGTACGACCAGGGCGTCACGGGCGGCGTGCTCGTCATGGAGTCGTTCCTCAATGACTTTTGCGTGGGCTGGCACGGCCAGACGATGGCCGACTGCACGCGAGCGACGGCACAGCTGCCGCAGCGCTGGGTGGACTACACACTATGGTACAACATGACGTACAACATTGGCTGCATGGTCGGCGCAATGGCGGGCGGCTGGATCGCCGACAAGTTTGGCCGTCGGATCACGATCTTCCAGGCCGGATCGCTCTTCTGTCTCGGCACCTCGTGGCTCGCTTTCTGCCCGAGCCACGCACACAGCTCACTGCTGATTGCGCGGTTCATCCAGGGCATGGGTGTCGGGAACTCTTCCTTTTCGCTGCCGTTGTTTGGAGCCGAGATGGCGCCCAAGGAGTTGCGTGGCTTCCTGTCGGGCTTCATGCAGATGACGGTCGTCACGGGCCTCTTGTCGGCGAACATTGTGAACCAGACTATCGAGCACCATGAGCGAGGATGGCGAATCACCAACGGCGTTGCAATGATCGCCCCGCTCGTTGTGATGCTCGGCATCTTCTTCGTGCCCGAGAGTCCTCGATGGACGTACTTGCACAAGGGCAAGGACGCGGCTTCCGCAATGTTGAAACAGCTGCGGCAGACGCGAAAAGTGGAGCGAGAACTGCGGGCCATTGGCGCACAGATTGCGCGAGAAGGGCGACCAGGAGGGTTCAAGGAGCTGATGGAACCATCGATCTTCAAGCGCGTGGTCATTGCCATGCTACTCCAGGTGCTTCAGCAAGCGACAGGAATCAACCCCATGTTCACCTACGGCGGTCTCATCTTCAAGGACATCGTAGGTGACGGCATTCTGTCCGTGCTTGTTCTTTCTATCGTGAACTTCGTCAGCACCATCCCAGCCATGCGGTGGGTCGACACCTATGGCCGTCGTCAGTTGTTGCTGATTGGTGCCGTTGGCATGGTCGTTGGCCACCTGGTGTCTGCCATTCTGTTCACTCTCGGCTGTGACGGCAACACGGAGAGCGCAGGGTGTTCAAAGTCCTCAGGATATGCGATCATCGTCGCGACGTCGTTCTTCGTGTTCAATTTCGCCATTTCGTGGGGACCCGTGAGTTGGGTGTATCCAGCTGAGATCTTCCCTCTCAACGTGCGTTCTATTGCTGTATCCCTCTCGACGATGGCCAACTGGCTCATGGGTGTGGTCATGACGTGGGTGGTGAAGCTCTTCCCGTCGCTGAACATCAACGGCGTATTCTTCTTGTTCGCCGGCACGTCTGCTCTGAGCGGAGTGTTCGTGTACTACATGTGTCCAGAGACTGCCGGCATTTTGCTGGAAGATATCGAGTCTTTGTTCAATGGCAGCGCACGCCACAAGAACTCGCCGAAGGAAGTACAGGAGACGCCGTTTCAGTCCACGCCGAGCTATCACACAGCGGCATAAGTTAGTTTGTACTTATTATCTATGCGGACACGACAGTGTCGGACACTCTCTTTCTTGTGAGGCTCTTGTGTAACAACGCTATCGTGATTGAGACTTGCAACGCGAAATGATACACGAATGATGTAAATAACTTTGCAAGTGGTGTGGGGTACAACGACAACAACGTCTAGTGCTCATCTGCTCTACAAGTAGCAATTGTATCACCGGACAGTCATTAATGAGGTTGCAACTTGTGTCTTGCTATAGCGAGTAGGAGAGGATTGCCGGATATACGTGAACTTCCCGATGCGCTTGAGTGTACAATGGCGTATGGGATTAGATGGAGCAGCCCACGCACAGAAGATGTGCCGCGCTAACACCGATTGTAAGCTACAAGTTGTTCTGCGTTGATCCTAACATCGGACGCTAGCGCACCGCATTCGTGTGACCGTTTGTGCTCCATGCAAACGAGCTTGCCAGTAGTCGCAAGGTGGTGCAAATACTACAAACATGCCGAGAAGGACCTGTAGCTCATGGCCAAAATGTGTACTGTCGAACAACCCTGCGTCTCACCGTCACGGAACCCGGGTTCTCCATCCCAAAACCCAGATGTCAGCATGTCAGCATGTGGCAGCTCGACACAGTTAGTTCAATAGCAACGGAACGTCAGGATCCCAGGACTCTTTTGACACCAGGGCTCCCCTCTGACGATCAGACCTTACCAAGCAACTGGATCCCGTTTGCTAACGTTCGCTCGAGGCTGTGCAATCGTCTCTGGCTCTCCCCACCTCATTGATAAGCTTTCGTGCGCTTTGGCGACAAAAGCGCGCAAACTGTTGTCGTGGCTTGTCGTCCAGCAGCTTTTACGCGGTGCAACTTGCTGTCACTTTACAAACGAACGTCATCTGGTCGACGGCGCTCTCATCGGTTTGCACCTGGCGCTCTATCTATGAAACAACCAGTTCAGCCTTTTGACAATCGATAAAAAACAGCCACTTTCACCGAATCCCGCTTGCGCGACCGAACGTTGCGTACTGTTCAGGCTGTCCACGCGACGTCGACGCTGTGTTTCAGCAGCGAACTGTGTTCACTTAACACTTGAGTTTCTCGCTGACCATCAGCGATGCAGAGCGACTGCAGTCGTACGATGTCGAGCACACGTCTCTACAACGAGGAACTATACTGTAGCTAGGACCGGTCCACAGTATCCACACAAACACGTGGCTCGCATGCACGCACGCGCTGGACCTGAATCTTCCGGGAAGAAACTGCTCTTACTCGAAAAGACCGTGACCAGCGCGCCCACCATTTGACATGCAAAGGAATTGCTGCGTACGTGCCGCTTACAGCCCACGTGGTTGTACACGACCTCGTCGGGCAGATCACTTTCGCGCCGGGCGTCGACGGCAAAGTCGTGTCGCCCACACACACACGCGTCTTTTTCTGGTCGTCGACACGCAGACAGGTGTAGGGGATGGCTGCCATTGGTCATAAGACGCTTCCTCGAGGGTTCCACCTGGGGGGTGCGCCTTTTTCTTGTCGCTTGCTCGGTATGCGACACGCTCAGCGAAACGAGTCAGTCGCGACGTATTTGTGAAAAAGTCGCCCCGCGCGAGGAAAAAACGCGGTCGAGGAAATCCCAAAAGTCGATATTTCGACCGAAAACACACACACACACAGACAGAGATAGACAGACAGACAGACAGACAGACAGACAAACAGACAAACAGACAAACAGACAGACAGCGAGCGAGCGAGCGGGTCCCCCATTGTGGTACCGCAGTTGAACGACGCTGCGCTCCAAAGAGAGCGAGCGAGTGCACAGCAGCAGCCGCAGCCGCAGCAGCTAAGCAGAGACCCCGCGCGCGCTGCTGTGTCGACGCGGCGTCTCCCGAGCAAACAGCAGCCGCAGCGGTCATGGCGCAGCGCGGGGACAAGAGCGCGAAAGGCGAAAAAAACGGTTTTTTCCGAAAAATGTACTCGTCCATTGGCAATTCGTCGCGGCAATTGGCAGTGCATCGCCAGGAAAAGGGTCAGCGCAGTGACTCGACGACCGGTAGTGGGGGCGGATTGGGCCATGGCAACAGCAGTAGCAACAGCAGTGGCCATAGCAGTTTCCAGCCGAGTCACAACAGTCCGAGCGACGGCGCAACGACAACGAGCGGCCACAGTGGTAGTAGCAGCAGCAGTAGCAGTTCGACGGCGCTGCAGCACTTTGTCAAACACCACAGCTTTAATGGCCACATGCCGTTTACAAGGGACGAGGCGCAGCAGCGAAATGCCGCGGGTGACTCGCATCAGAGCATGTTGTCCAAGCGCCCGAGTTTGATTGTGCCGTTTTCCACGCAGCAGCAGCAAATGGGGCTGGGCGTAGCTGCTGCTGGTACTGCTGGTGGTACGGCCGATGGATCGCAGACGTACTTGGACGACTTTCAAGCACCGATTTCCAAGTCGGGCGTGCTGATCAAACAGGCGAACCACTTTAAAACGTGGAAAAAGCGGCTGATGGTGCTGAAAGGTCACTCGCTGTTTTACTACGTGTCGGGCACGGTACGGGAATGAAGATTGCGAGCGACGAGGGAAGGGAGACTTTGGACTGATTGTTCTAGTCGTGATGGTGTGTTGTTGCTGTAGTCTGGAGAGGACTCGTATCCTCGTGGCGTTATTCCGCTACAGGGCGTGCGGATCACGCCAGTCGACTCGGCGCGGTTCAAGCGACAAAACTGTTTCGAGATTTGTCACCCGGTGCGTGCAATGTGGCTGAGTGTGTGTCTCGAGTGCACATCTTGTGTTGTATACGCTACTGACAAGATGCTGTGCCTGCAAATCAGGGATACCGTCCTATTTATCTGATGGCCAAGAGCGAGGCGGATCTGAGCGTGTGGATGAGCAGCTTGACGTCTGCTGCAATGGCTACAACAGCTGACCGCAAGATGCTGCTCGTGACGGAACCGCTGGAGTCGCTGTTTAACACGCCAGCGCTGGAAGATGCCGTGCCGTACAAGCGGACGTTTTACTTTCGTCAGAAAGTGGCATTTTGCATGCCGCGAAAAGAAGATACAGGATACACAATGGTGGATCTTTTCGATTTGAATGAGAAGCGCTTGACGACGCTGTGCGACTTGAACAGCTACTGCGACTCGTTTCCTATGATCTTGGATGATCCACAGCTCTTTGTGGAACTGTTGCATGTCGTGGGTTGCTACATCTTCCGGCCGTTCGCCCGGCTGCAGTCGACCTCGCCTGGTAATATTTTCGTGGAGGAGCCGAATCCGGACGAAGTGGGTGTGCTTGAGAACCCAATGGACAAATACTCGGAATACACGACCGAAGAGCAGCTGTGGGGGCTCTTGTCGGCATGTTACGACCTGTTGCTCAAGGCGATCGAGCACATTGACAAATTAGAAAAGCACGTGCGCAAAGAGTTTTTCCCCTTGCGGTTTATTGCGCAGCTTGTGAATTTGTTCAAGACGCCATCCTTCAAAGAACGACAGGTACTGAAGGGCGTGCTCCATCGACTGTACTATAAATTAACTCAACGGCGGTCGGCTATTCGCAAGGAGATTGCCAATACGTTTTACGAGTATATTTATGAGACGTCGAACCATTACGGCGTAGCAGAGTTACTGGAGATACTAGGTAGCATCGTCAATGGGTTTGCGTGCCCGATCAAGCAAGAGCACGTGGTGCTACTGGAGAAAGCGCTCATTCCGCTGCACTCGACGCCTGCGTTCATCTCGTACCACCAGCAGCTCGCGTACTGCATGATTCAGTACGTGTCGAAAGACCACACCCTGTTTACTTCGATCGTCCGCGGCTTGATCAAATTCTGGCCCGTGGGCAACTCGTTCAAGGAGGTGATCTTCATTGTGGAGTTTGAAGAGATGCTGGAGCACGTGTTGGCGGAGACTGATTTCGATGTGATATCGCCCAAGTTGGCACGGAAACTGGGGCAGTGCATGGTGAGTGATCAGTTCCAGGTCGCGGAACGCGCGATATCGTGCTGGAGTTCCCCGGCATGCTTGCGCATCATGAATGAGTACGAGAAGCTGGGACAAGGCATGTTTAATGTGATCAAGCCGTTTCTGAAGCGGTCGATGGCAGGGCACTGGAACACACTGATTCAGCAAAAGGCTCATGAGACGTACACTATGTACTACAACATGGGCTACGACAGCGACGACGTGACTGCTGCGTCCGTCGCACTTGTTTCGGAGGGAAAGGTATTGGATAGCAGTGTCAAGACGGAAGAGTCGGATCCGGACGAGGACAGCAGCACTTCGAGCGAGGCGAACGTGTCGATGGCTATCCGCTTGTCGGCGTCGAGCGCAGTAGAGGCATTAGATATCGTGCTGTCAGATGAGGAAGGCGAAGAGGATGAAAAGCCGGACGCGTTCTAGAGAGTGCAGCGGGGCAATAGTCAACGGAGGATGCAATGTGATGCGATAGAGACAGCCAGGTCAGCTCAGGCATTCGAATGAGGCACCGTTCGCCGTGCCACCTCAGGCTTTATCCTCTCAACGCAGCGGCAGCAGCTACGGTATGCACGGAAACAAACGGAGGCAGCAGGTAAACGGACAACAAGATGTGGGCGGGGACAAAGCACAGGCGGCGGCAGCAAACAGAATGGGGAGCTAGTGGCACCGAAAGCGACGGATGAAGGCGCGACGAAAGCCGTGACAGCAGCAGCAGCAGCGGATGAACGAACAAGCGAGCGAGCGAACGAACGAACGAACGAATGAACGAATGAATGGATGGATGAATGAGTGCAAGTTTTGGCTACAAGTTGAAGTGTATGACATGTAAATGACACGATGGCGACGATGGCGGTTAGCAGCAACGGCAGCAGTGCGACGGCTGCGTCTGGACGACCTGAACACGCCGTAGGACAGACCGTTGCACGAAAGAAGCGAGCGGATCATTTAGCGCTTTGCACTCTTTTTGTCGACATTGTCGCTCGCGCTCTTTCGCATGTGTCGATCGCGTGTCAACAATACACGTCCTACGTCCCCGTTCTTCCTCGTCCCTCTTTGCAGAGAGTACGCACTACCGCCATCATCATCATCGGCCCATCCATTGATTATTCCATCAAACGATCCATCCGATCTATTGATCCATCGGATCCATTGATCCACCCGATCCAGTGATCGATTGATCCACTCCGTCCTCCACCACCTTCAAGCACTCCGTCGCTCGCTCCTCTGCTCGTCGATTCGCACCAGTCGACCGACTTCTGCTCCGTCCGTTCCATCACAACTCCGCCGGTCGGCCGGTCGCTCATGCGTCGCGTCCGCCTCTGCTTTCTGCCCCTTGTGCTGCTGCTGCTCACACTGCCCTTCCCGTCCACCCCCCGTGCCCTCGTCCTCACCTCTTCCACCTCCTCGTCCTCCTCCTCTTCGCTCGTGCCCGACGCGCGCCCCCCGTCGCCGCTCGCCCGTCCGCTTCCGACCGCTGTCGTCCGCGACCCCTTGCGGCCGGGCGCGACCGTCCGCGGCTACGACCTCCTCGAACGCTCGGCGCTCTTGGGCGTGTGCCACCACGAGCCGCCGGTACCGCGCGACAAGAAGGCGGTCGTCCTGCAGCAAACAACAGCCGGCGCCAGAGCGTTCGCGTGGACGCCGGCGGCCGTCTGTCGGCTCATTGACGCGCCGCGCCGACCGCACCCGCTGCCGGACGGCCCTGTGCTCGAGTACGCGTACGGCGTCGACGACGTCGCGCGCATGTTCGTCCCGGCGCCGTACCGCCTCAAGCACAAGTTCGACGCGGGCGCGCACGGCGAAGTGTGGCGCGCGACGCGGCGGTCGCCCGAGACGACAACGGCCGACCAGACGTTTGTGCTCAAGCGGTTGTTCGTCGAGCGCGACGAGCGCCTCGTGCAGATGGGGCTGCGCGAGGCGCACTTTGGCGCGCGGCTGCGGGCCGAGCGCCACGTCGCGCGCTTCGTCGAGTACTTTTTCCGGTCGGTCGACGAGCCGACCGACGAGCCGACCGTTCGGGCGACCGACAGCGCGGCCGGAGACGAAGCGGCCGGCGGCGGTCGCCCCACCTCCGAGCTCTGGCTCGTGTTCCACGACGAGGGACTGTCGCTGCGGCAGTCGCTCTACGAGCCGCTCCAAGTCGTGAACGGACCACGAGGTGCCGACGCGGGCGCGGGGGTCGTGTTGCAGCCGTCGCCGTTCTGGCACAAGTTGCGCGCCGATGGCCGCGGGGAAAACGCGCTGCGCAATATCCTGCGGCAACTGCTGCAGGCCGTCGCAGCGCTGCACGCGCGCGGGATCACACATCGGGACATCAAGCCGTCCAACATCCTCGTGTCGATTCCGCCGCCGCCGTCGACGTCGGGGGCAGCAGCGCCGGTCGAGCCCGTGGTCAAGTTGGCCGACTTTGGCTCGGCCGTCGACGAGTACACGCTGCGTCACTTGTACGACGGTCCGCAAGGACGTAGTGCAGCAACAGCAGGAAGAGGAGGAGGCGGCGGTGGTCCGTCGCAAGCGGAAGAAACGCGCGAGTATCAGCCGCCGGAAGTGCTCTTCAGCGACAACGGACAGCCGTACGACTACGCGGCGCCCGAGGCGTACGACCTCTGGTCCGTGGGCGTCGTCTTCCTCGAGCTGGTGCTCGGCTCACCCCACGTGTTCCTCATCTCGCCGCGCGCGCGCGCCAAGCTCGACGTCGAGCTCGACGCCCAACGTCGACAGTCCCAGCAGACGCATCGACGTGCTACCCACAGCCGCAGCCGCAGCAGCAGTAGCAATGCAGACGGAGACGGAGACGACGATGACGCGCCGGACGGTCCGCGCTGGCGGACGAAAGCCTACTTGCTGCACGTGCTGACGCACGAGTTCTGCATCTTCCGACCGGCGCCGCAGCAGCTCCGGTCGTTGTGGGACACGTACGCGCTCGTGAGCGAGAGCTGCCACTTTGGTCGGTTCAACCAGACCGTCGTGGCGCGCGACCCGCTGAAGAAGGGCCTTGACGACGTCTACGGCCTCGACCTCATGTGGAAACTGCTGCAGTGGCACCCGTCCGAGCGCATCGCTGCGGCCGACGCGCTGCAGCACGCGTACTTCCACGGACCGTACGTGTGTCCCGAGTCGGGCCGCGCGTTCGCCACGCAGCAGGAGCTAACGCTGCACGAGCGCTACTTGGACGCGCAACGGGCCCGAGAGAGCGTGTTGGCGTCCGTGGTGCGGCCCAAGCACGAGCTGCCCGACCGCTTCGCGTGTCCGCACTGCGGTCGTGTGTTCGCGACGGCGCAGAGCTGTGGGCAGCACGTACGTGCGCGTCGCCACGACCGTACGGGCTCGAGCTTCTGTGCGTTCGACGACGTGGCCATTGTGTCGGCGATCCAGAGCGAGTCGCGGCCGGAGGACGCGCAGCATCGCGCAGCGCAGGACCGACCGGCAGTGGGCACGGCGGTGTTCCAAGGACGGAGGAAGTACATGGAGGACGGCGTCCTCGTGCGCTCGGAACAGCAGCTCAACGACGAGGTGTGCGTCCACGAGACGAATGCAACCACAGGACCAGCAGCAGCAGCCGTCGGCTTTGACCTCTACGCCGTCGTGGACGGCCATCTCGGGACCGCAGCCGCGACGTTTGTCGTCGCGAACCTCCCGCGCGTCCTGTGCCGCCACTTTGCAGCGATCGCGAACGCGTCGACGGCAGCACACGACACCAACCGCTCGGCCGCTCGCGAACTCGCCGAGAAGTTTGCGCTCCGGCAGACGTTCCTCGAGCTCCACGACAGCTTTCTCGACTCGCTCAGCGCCGTCTCGAGCGGCACCGGCAGCGCAGAGGCCGACCGCAACGCAACGTCCGCGATCGCTGGCGACGGCTTCTCGGGCTGCACGTTGACGCTCGTGCTGCACTTTCGTCGCGAGCGACGCGTTGTCAGTGCGAACGTCGGCGACTCCCGTGCGGTCGCGTGGCTTCCCGACACGACCTCGTGGCCGCACGACAACGGACCGCACGACAGTGGGCATCTCGTGCCGCTGAGCATGGACCACTGGCCGAACGACCCGCGCGAACGCGCTCGGATCGAGTCGAGCGGCGGGTTCGTCACGTTCGCAGGACTGTGGCGCGTCGTGGGCCAACTGGCCGTCTCCCGGAGCCTCGGCGATCGCCACCTGCGTCAGTTCGTGACGGCTGAGCCCTCGGTCTTCCACGCACCGCTGGGCAATGGCACTGGCCGTGGGTACCTCCTCATTGCAAGTGACGGCCTGTGGGAGACAATGAGCGCAGACGACGTCGTGCGGTTCCTGCAGGAGCGACACACGAGTACACTCCGCGACAATAACGTCAACACAACGCTTGATTCAGCGGCTTTACAGGACCTGGCAGCGCGTCTACTGGCCGAAGGCTACGTCCGTGGGAGTCTGGACAACATGGCGCTGGTGCTCGTGCCGCTGCCGTCGTAGCCGCCGCCGCCGCCGCCTTCGGCCGTCTCTTTACGTGGCATCGCCAAAGCGCTGGGCCTGCTGGCCGTACTGGAAGAGCACTTTCAGCACGCGGTCGATCGACGGCACGAGCACGTCGGCGGCTTCGGCGAGATCGTCGAGCGACGAGGCGCCGCCGAGGACGCCAATGGACAGCCCGCAGCCGGCGTTCTTGCCCAGGAGCATATCGGTGGACGTGTCGCCGACCATAAGCGTATTGTGCGGCTCGACGTCGAGCTGCTGGCACAGCGTCCAGATCTGTTCGCCGGCGGGTTTCGCTGGCAGGCCGTCGTCGCCGCACGCGAGCGCGTCGACGAGGTCCGAGACGCCCAAGTGCTCGAGCGTCTCGACGGTCGGCTGCCGGTCGTCGGTCGTGCACACGGCGATCTTCATGTCCATCTTCTGGATCGTGCGGAACAGCGCGGGGATGTTGCTCAGCGGCCGACTCGTGAGCACGGGGTCCGGCATGCTCCAGCACTGGTGGATGACGTGCTCGGCCTTGGCCTGCGCCATGCCTTCGGCCACGAGGACCCGCACGGCGAGTTTGTAGAGCTCGCCCATGGGCGTGCAGCAGAGCGCGCCTTTGGACCGGATCGAGCGGCTGATCCAGTCGTAGCCCATGGCGTCAAAGAGCTTCTCGCGCACGGGCAGGTGCGTGGTCATCTCGACGCGCCACGCTTGGGACTCGACCCAGCCGCCCCACATGAGCGTAAAGTCGATGAGCGTGCCGTCTTTGTCAAAGACCACGAGGCCAGGACGGCAGCGCGGCCCGCGCGAGCGCTCGGCGTGGGCGATGACCGCTGCACTGTGCGCCGCAGTGCTCTTGTGCCGCGCACGAGCGATCGTTGAAGTGAGGGACGTGAGGGGCGACCGGAGAGATTGGTGCAGGGCCGACATGGGCACGAGGTGGAGCTAGTGGCGGGCGGAGGGAGACGGAAGACGGAGAAGAGAGGGGAGAAGCGAAGAGCAGGTCGAGTGTGGCTGCGAGCGCTGCTGGCGGCTCTGTGGCGGTTGAGTGACTCAGCTGCGAGCTGAACGAGGAGATGAGGAGGTCGGGGGTAGAGGATGGCGGTCTATCGATCCTCTTTGGTGCTGGATACAGACGTCACGTGCGACTCGACACGTGGCGATTCTCGGAATGCAGCTGGGGCGTTAGCTCACGAGCGGACTGCAGGGAGTGTGCCCAATATGTGTGTGTGTGTGTGTTCGTCGGAGCTCGTTGAGCTGTAGTCGCCTACTGACGGATTTGACACTCGCGTGTGTGTGTCGAAGATGGACTTGAGCGTCGCTGGGAACGATCTTCGGATCGCACACTGAAAGGACCGACACGGGGAGGATACAGTCTGTAGATTCCATACACTCGGGTATGAATCTTGAGGACTGCCATGTGCTGTGGGGGGTGGGGGGTGATGACGTACGGCGAATGAGCAGTGTGCGTCGTGTAGTTTAGTGTTCTCAACTTGTTGCCACGTTGCGACAAGAGCTGTTGGTGCTCGACCCTTGTCCGCCGTTGCTCTCGTTTGTGACGAGCAGCACGACACGACTGAGACCAGAGCAAGCTCCTTGTGACGTCAGTCAGCTCTCTGCAGCTCTTCTTGTAGCGCTTCCTGGTGACTATCCACCAAAACGAGCCACGTATGCGACCAGTCGTTTACTGAGCTGTGCCCGAGCGTTTGTGAAGTATGTGGCGATATGCACAGCACACGGGTAGCAATCGACTTGCGGTCGGCATTGCTACAGGAACTATCCACTTTCAGACTTCTAGCGCATAGTCATCATGTGTGATAGATAGTCATGAAACTCTCTTTTCTCTCTCTCTCTCTCTCTCTCTCTCTCTCTCTCTCACACCTATACGGCATCAGACAGACCCACTCAGTTGGTATCCCAGAGGCAGCGGAGCAGCAGTCGCGTCGAGAAGAACTTCCAGAACACGTCATCCGCAAAGCAAACTCGCGTCGCCTTCTTCTGCATGTCGTGGGATGGTACCACGGAAAATTCAGTGATCCCCTTGTCGACGTCATCGACGGCCAAAGAGCGCTCATCGATGCATCGGCACTGCTCATCACTGTGGGTGTGTGCGCTTACCAGTTGGCTTCATCGCGTTGGACACCCAGAAGAGTACGCACCGATTCGGTACCCGTCGGTCTGCCTACTGCAACTCTCGCAATCATTTGCGCTACCTCCCGAATGATGTCAAAGCTATTCCCAGCCCTCGCATCCCTACGCCCCCTTATCGCATGACTGCAATCATCCGAATGCTAAGTATTGATCGTTACCAGCCAAAACGCGGCTTCCGATCGCTCTACTAAGGCCAGCGCCAATGCCAACGAACGACGAAAACTTTCCGCAGTAGACGTCGTCGCAACACGCGGTAGGAACGCAGCGCTGAAGACGGGCACGTTCACGTGGCCGTTGAGCGGAAAAGCATTAGAATCGTCTACGCAGCTGCTGATGCCTCTTTTCCCACGACCAAATTTGCTCGAGCGGCGAAACGTCACTCGCAGACAAACCATGTGGATCGTCAAAACTCACTCGCAGCACACTGTCGCCACGGCGTGTCGCTACAGTTAACACGACCCATTGCCAGCAAGTAGATAGGAAACACGTCGACGTTCGATCGTGCGCCGTCACACGACGGAAAGCCCGTGATTGCAACGAACGTCTGAGGGTTCTTGCGGGCGTCACTTCAACCTGAACCCATCTATCCATCCATCCATCCTTGCAAGAAGGCTTTGCCGATGCGCTTAGGGCAATAGCCCTCGCGCGTGTGGCGGTCTGGTGCTAGGATTTTCGAGGCATCGATTCCAGGAAACAGCATGGTTTCGGTGAAGGTTTCTGGGACCGCTGGAATCCGCTGGAGCTTTGAGACTGGAGCGTGGACGTGGATGATGGGAAAACGATTGCGCGGCTGCTTCATCTTCGATGCATCTACGGCCTAACCGATCCCATGCGCCCATGTATCCACGACAGCATCTGCGGCCTGGAATTCTCGTCATCTCGGTATTCCCAACTGTGCTGTCCTGCTGTCCGTCTGTACGTTCCCCGATGAAACATTCGAGTCGCCACGCGTCGATTGACTGCAGTCCATCAAGTGTTGTGTCCGCCGCTTCCTCTACACTGGTAGTTCAATCATCTGGTACAGTTCTCCTGCCGAAGTCGACAACGACGACGAGGCTGCCATGTGAAGTAGTCACTTGGCCGCCCATCGTAAGCGCTTCCGGTGCTCGTCGCTCGCCGTGCATCGCCATGTTTACTACCGTCTCGCTGGACAACAAAGTGTCGCATACGTTGTGCTGGTGGGTCGAGTCGACAGGAACTGCACTTGTCCAGCGGAGAAACGAACGATTGCGCGCCACGTGCCATTCGCCACGCGCTGTCGTCGCAGATGATGTCCAGCGCGCGTTCGCATCAGTCAAGTGACGGCACGACCGTTGCCCGTGACGCCCCTCTGAGACGTGGACGACGACGGCCGAGAAAGGGCACTGAAACATGGCGCTTCTTCCGATCGATCACTATCTAGAGGTGGCCGTGATTACGCGTGTGCCGTTGCCTGTTACTCGCGCTTTCTCGTGATCCGCCCAGTGAGTGGCGTCGCGTCTCTCGACACACATGGCTTCGGCCATAGCCTCTGTCGTTACGCCGAGAGCGGACGGACGGACGGACGGACAGACGGGCGGGCGGGTAAGATCGCACGCTCCGAAGTTGCAGTGTACGTGACCCACGCGCTGCCCCCGACACGTCCTAAGCCGCGTGCTGCGGTCTGCAGCTGTCTCGGGATCCTGACTGGGCAGATGTTGCCAGCACGCGGACTCGGCCGTTGCACAATACCACTCACACTGAGGTTTGTGCGTGTGCGTGTGTCATCCGCCTCGTCGAATCTGTGCGAGAGAACGCAGAACGACAACCGAGTGCTCGTTTTTGCCATTCTTTGCTGCGACAAGGACGCCGTCTCTAGGACCGCTCGGCTCGCGTGGACAAGCGACAGCGACTGCTCTGCAGCCCAGCGGTGCCCTCCACCACTACCGCTCACTTTTTGCGCGCCGGAAGAAAAGGCAGATGTCACGACTACATTCTCGCGAGATGC